AGTGCCTTTCAGCATAGACATTTTTGCTGGTCCGTTCTTTCTTTTGCAGGGCCACTCACAATGCTGGATTCAATATGCAGAGGGATGTGGAAAAGGGATTGGAGGCTCCACTGCTACTAATGGGCAAGGGGGATGTTAACGCAACCTTTCAGCTCACCTCCATTTCCCAGTAAGTCTGTTGTAATCAGGGGTACTTCACTCTTCCTTCCTTAGCAAGGAGAAGTTTGCAGCACCCATGACAGTTTTCATGGGTCAGATTCCTTTTTGCCTAAGGTGGTGTCCTCATCTAACCTAATCGAGACATTGTGCTTCCTCCATTTTGTCCTGCTCCAAGAGGTTGCTGTGGTTCTGGCTGTCTGAGCTAATCTCACACTTATGGCCTCATTCAGTAATCAGATTGTCTCTTCCTGAAGGACGTCGCAGGGGGTTTCCTGCTTCTCTCACCATTTGACAGGTCATTGTGCAGGCCTATGCTGATGAAAGGTAGGGCTCTGCCTTTTTCTGTGAAGGCACACTCTACTACATCTCTCAGTGCCTCTTGGGCTTTTTAACATCAAGCTTCTGCTCTGCAGGTTTGTAAGTCCGCCACCTGGTCTTCTGTTCACATGTTCACTAAATTCTACCAGTTGGATGTGGAATCACTACCATGCTATCTTGGATCTCTCAGCTGCAAATGTTTTCATTTGAACTTGCTAGTCCTGGATGGAATCGTCAAGGCCTCTTATTGCTTCTGTCCATCAGGAGATTTCCTGGCCTTGGTGGATATGAAATCTGCATAATTGCACTTACCCCACTTTATCTAAAACTTTATCCAGATCCAAAAACTACACTTTTAAATCTTGCTGTATAGCATTCAGATAGTAGCATCTTTTTCACGAAATATTACACTCTCCATTTGATTGATTTCATATAATGATTCTACATATTTAACTAAAGAAGGCAAAGTTGGAGTTGTTCAGTGTTTTAGAATTAATTGCCTATCTTCAATCTCAAGATTATTATTTTTTGCAGAGGAAATATAGTCTTGGAACAGGGGCCACTTTCATAGTTTTGGAAAGATTACCCTGATATATGCTGCTGTAAAGGATAAAGCCCCCTAGTTTTTCTAGTTTTTATTAAATCATACTTCCACCAAATATGTATGAATGATCATTTCACTTTCTGGAAACCCCAGCATATATTTGATTGTGCCTGGTGAATATAATTTAATCAATGGAATTTGGGTACTTGAAAATTGCATTCCTTTATATTTTACAGGAAATAAATAATTTGTCTTAGAAGGAAATGTTTTTTCCCCCCAGTCTTCATTGATCTTGGAATACCTTTATCATTAAAACATAATATATTATATTTTGGGAGTACTGGTATGACATATGAAAAAAAAAGTGTAGATACTTTGTTATGGAGATGTTGGTCACACACACAACTATTCATATAGTGTATAAATTCTGAGAATAAAATAACTAAAAGCATTTATGCCAACATAGAAACGAGGCATATACAGGTGAAACTCGAATAATTAGAATATCGTGCAAAAGTTCATTTATTTCACTAATGCAACTTAAAATGTGAAACTAATATATGAGCTAGACTCATTACATGCAAAGCAAGATAGTTCAAGCCGTGATTTGTCATAATTGTGATGATTATGGCTTACAGCTCATGAAAACCCCAAATCCACAATCTCAGAAAATTAGAATATTGTGAAAAGGTGCAATATTCTAGGCTCAAAAAGTCCCACTCTAATCGGCTAATTAAGCAATAACACCTGCAAAGGGATCCTTTAAATGGTCTCTCAGTCTGGTTCAGTAGGAATCACAATCATGGGAAAGACTGCTGACCTGACAGTTAGAGGCTGCTGTGTGCTGCATTGTTAAAACACATCACAGTGCTGCCTTTTTTTACAACTTGTATGTAATAGTATTAGGGATGCACCGATACAAGCATCAGTATCGGCGGCGATACCGAGTATTTGCATGAGTAGTTGTACTTGTGAAAATGCCCTAATACCAGCACTTTAAAGTTTCAAGCTGAAGTGGCTGTTTTAGGTCCCTGGCTTGCTGGAGAACTCACACCCGTACTCGTGCAAATACTCAGATACAAAAAACGAGTACCTGTGCCGCGTCCGCCATCTTTAGGGACACAAAACCGCCGCACACAGGACCTCCATCGCGTCTTCAATGAAACAAGATGGCCGCGAACTCCTCCTCCAAGTCCTCAGTCATCTGCTCCATTCTGACCTCTTCTCCCACCGATTGGATGATTGACAGGCTTCCTCACCAGTCAGGAAATGATCTAAATTTTCATTTCATTATTCAATGTCTTTTTTTTTTATACATATAACATTTATAATATAAAAAAAAGACATTGAATAATGAAATTAAATGAATATTTAGATCATGCTATTGCTAACTAAGGCTTGTATCCCCCTAGTGGGGAAAATAGATGAGAACATGTCCAGACTCCAGAACAGTGTATCATTTTATAGTGTGGCACAGCTATATCCAATTCTGCTTTGCCTGGCTTTATATTATAAAGTTCTTATAATATAAAGCCAGGCAAAGCAGAATTGGATATAGCTGTGCCACACTATAAAATGATACACTGTTCTGGAGTCTGGACATGTTCTCATCTATTTTCCCCACTAGGGGGATACAAGCCTTAGTTAGCAATGGCATGATAAATATTCATTTCATGTTCATGTTCTTCATAATATTAAGAAACTGACCTAAAATCATGATTTTGTATTGCTTTAGAAAAAATGTGAACTGTCCCTTTAAGAAAAAGTATCGGTAATTGGTATCGGTGAGTACTTGATAAAAAGTATCGGTACTCGGTCTTACAAAAGTGGTATCAGTGCATCCCATAATATTATGTGCTGCAGTGCTTTGTGATGCACCGCTCATCAGAATGTACTGCACAAAAATACATGTCATACAGTTTTTCAGCCCACCCCAACCCAGTGCCTTGTTCTTGCATCGGGACTGCCCAGCACAGCTGGTGTAAAGGAGCCTATTTCTTTCTGACCTTTTTACATGCCTCCCAGTGGCGGCAATGGTTGGCAATCAAAGCTTCCTGCTTCTGGTTGTAGGCCCTTGCAATGACCTATGTTGATTCAGTGTGAGAAAAGCACCATTCACTGCACATGGTGTGATCTAGCTGTAATCTGGTGCAAATGTACCTGTAAGAATTGATGCTGTTTTAAAGGCAAAAGGCGGACACACCAAATATTCATTTGATTTAGGTTTTATTCTATGTATGCACTTAGAAAATTGTTAATTGTGTTAACTAAATAAAAGTTTCTATGTGCCTCTTTCCTACCACAACACTGTGCAGGTGTGCATTGCACTCAGTTATGTTAAAATGTAGCATGTACAGTATGCATTATAATGTAGTGCACCACCCATGAACACATGTAAACACAACATAAAACAACTGAAGGAAAAAAAAAAAGTTTGACCCATCCAAAAAATAGGACCAAAAAAAGGCTTGATAATAGATTACATTAAAATGCATGCAAAATTACATTAAAAAAACAAACATAAAAAGGCATTTTAACACATGTAAACACACATGCATTTTCAATGCATTGAAGTGAGTTTTTATGCGCAGTATGTAAAGGGCCATACTCTACTAACAAGTTGGGGTCACTGAAGATAGTTCAGTGTAAAAAAAGGTCTTACACAGTGGCAAGGTGGTCATAGCAATACGACTTAACAGCAGTTCCTAAATGTGCTGATCAAGTTCTTCTGCAGAAGCGCACAGAAACAGTCATGCAGAGGACCAAAAGGGCATTTTTGGCCAAGGAAACATGCTGACTTCCTTCGCAATCAGATGCCCAATGGCACCATCAGCTCAGACCTGGCAAAAACCAGTGGAACCCTGGTATACCCTTCAACAGTTGAGAGAAGTCTGGTCAGAAATGGTCTTCATGGAAGATTTGCGGCTAAAAAGCTATGCCTCTGACATGGATGCCAAGCAATGTACCTATGCACCGAAAAACAAGAACTGGCGTGCGGAAAAATGGCACCAGGTGCTATGGACTGATGAGTCTATTTAAATATATGGCTGTAACAGAAGTTAGAACAGTACAAGGATGAGTGACTGTTTTTTTGTGTTTTTTTTGCAATTAAGCATCTATAAAATTACATTTTTGGTTCAGTAAGCAGCCAGCTTTTATTCTCTGCTGTCATGTTGAGGGTGCCCTCTGTACAAAACTACCTCAGAGATGTAAGAAAAGACTAGCAATGATGTGATGTCTAAACTAATGCAATGTTCAGCAAAATATAAAAATCCATAACTAATGAAGAAATGTTGCCTTTTTTTGTGGAAGCTATTATATTACATTAATTGCATAAACGTTTGCCTGAAAGTATTTTACTTAAAAGGTATATTTTTATAGATGTGTACAAAAATATTTAGATTATCCCTTTAGAGTTTTTAATAGCTATTGTCTTTTTTCATATCACCTAACTGTGAAATAAGGTTTATTATTGATTAGCAGATTGAGGGCCCATTCACACCTTTCCAGTTGTGGGAATGCATGCATTAATGCAGTGGCATTCTTTGTAAGTAGTACGCCAACACATTAACCCAACGTACCTCCAATGCATGGCAACACACTGCAGTGCATATGGTGCTACGTGTCAGAGGAAAATGATGTCTGTTCTGATGCATTTGCAGTCCCATTATTTTGAATGGTCTATCTTAATGCAATGTACAACATAGCGCCCATTAACTCGTATGTATTAATGCAATGCACAAAAAGGACTGGTGAGAATGGGCCATTAGGGCTTCTATGCAATGCCTAAGCTGATTTGAGTCACTTCTGCCTAGGAGCCATGTGCCTGTAAAGTGTTCCCAATGCACTATAAAAACAGCAGTTTTTGTAAACCATTTCTGCCTTTTTTTACGTAGTGCCATGTAAAATATGTGTCTTCCCAAAGTTTCAACATTTTGTTACAGGCAAGTATATGTGTTTGTTTTTTTCCCCCCCATAGAAAGCTGTTGAAGTTATCTCTCTTGTTCCAAAACGGTGCAACGATGTAATGAGCGTTGGACGACTGCAAGGGTTTGATGTAATGTTATTATTGATTTATATTATATGTACAGTATGTAAAGCTTTTTACTGTTTGGGTCCCTACCACCACTATTGGGACAACAAGTCAGGGAATATCACCAATTGGAAAACACACAGCAACAGAAACTGAGAGAAGCTCTAACTCTCCCTGCTTTACTAAATACAAAATTGTTTTTATTGCTGTCTGTGTCCCTTTTTTCCTTCACTTTCATTTTTCATTGACCACCATCACTCACATGTGAAGGAATATCCTCTCCAATGAAAAACCTATCTGGTTATTCTTTTGTTCCCTCTTGGTACAACATAAATGGTTTATTTGCTTAAAAATATTTATTTGGCCTCTATGAATCATTTGTTAAGCTGTCTTTACATAAGTCCAAAATGGAAATAGCCCTGAAGAAGTGGATTCTAGTCCCCCTAGGCATTTTACATATAATGCCTAAAGATTCATCCACATGTCTCTTCATTCTTTTTTTTTTCCATTCAAAATTTTTATTACACAATCAGAATTTTAAGTAGAATACAACCGGAGAATACAAATGAAAAATCAACATCATTAAAAAGATAAATAAACAAATATACATATTGGCAGAATTTGCCTTGTCTTGCATATTGCCTCAAATTGTCCTTGTCTTGCATTGTGGCTATGCTGAAAACAATGGCCAGCGCAGCTCCAACACATATGGTGTGAATGGACCCTATGGTAGAATTATATACCCTTGGGGTGCATACCTAAACAATTCTCTCCAGTTGACCTTCTATATCTAATTTGCCTTTTAAAAATTTACATTTTGAGGATATGACAATTGTCTTATAGCCCAGGTGACATTTTTTGCATTCTGCTTTTAATCATGTCTGCCTTTTCTTTGGTTATATAGTTAGGTTTAGGGCTTGTTCATAGCATGTCCAGACCAGAACAGCTTGTTCCCAGACAAAAAAAAACATCCCATTGTATCCCTATATTATTTTCGGGCTCTGTTCACACCAGCACAGTCTGTTCCTGTCCAGACCAGAAAAATACTGCTTGTTTTCTCTGGTCTGGATCAAATACGCATGGAAACGCACTGAAATGTACCTGTAAGTCCATTTTAAGCTAATAAAAATTTAAAAAAAAACATGGCAAACTGCAATGCACAGCGTTCCAGAACTGGTGTTAACATTACATTTTGTGCTTGGTATGCAAAGTTTTCAGCTTCAGTTGTAAAATGGTAATCCATTTCTCTTGTTCTTAGCAGGGCAAAATTTTAGCCCAAGGAAAGCTTCTACTTCAAGATACATTTTTAGTCTCAGATCAAGACACAGGACTTTTGCCTTGCTGTAAAGAAAGACGGGTGTTTCTTTTTGAACAAATTGTAATCTTCAGTGAACCCTTAGATAAAAAGAAAGGATACTCTTTGCCAGGCTTTCTGTTTAAAAATAGTATCCAGGTGAGTAACATCTTTTCATGTATACTTAATAAAATATATTCATACGTATGCCTAAATGATAAAGATACAGTGTTGTCCTTAGTTTTTTGACAGGTGCACCATGCTTCTAGGCTACGATACAAGGTTTGTTTTTGTTGTTAGTTCAGTGGTTAGACTTTACAATATTTATAATAATTATACCTTACCAGCAGGGCTGGCCTGGGAATAAAAATAGGCCCGGGCATTTTAGACTGAGCAGCCCAACCATGTGACCCCTGAAGGCCCCACAGGTGCAACCGAGGGGCGGGGCCAAACAATGAGGCGCAATTGAGGGCAAAGGCCAGTTGCTGGTAAGTACGGGAGCGCTACAGTTGACACACAAGCCTTGCAACAATATACCGTGTTTCCCCGAAAATAAGACACTGTCTTATATTGTTTTTGGCTCAAAAAAACACACTAGGTCTTATTTTCGGGGTAGGTCTTATTTTTTTTTTCTTTTATGTGTAACACTCCAAAGTTAATGCAAATCCAAATTAAATAATCCAAAATGGCGAAGTGCGCTTTCACTATGGATTCCTCACAGGGGGAGTGCATTTGGTATCACTCCGCCTGTGACAGGAGCCGGCGCTATAGAGGAGGCATCGGCTTATGCGGCTCTACTCCCTGCGCTGCCGCCTCGCTTCCTCTAGCGCCAGCTTCGTTGGCACCGCTGATTCTCGCCCGCAGTTCTTCAAGTTCCCCCTTATGACACCACCGGCCCTGGGAATGGTCACAACTAGGTCTTATTTATGGGGTAGGTCTTATATTTTAGCAATACCCAAAAATGGCACTAGGTCTTAATTTCAGGGTAGGTCTTATTTTCGGGGAAACAGGGTAGGAAGCTTGCTACAGAGAAATCTTGTGATATCCTTAACAGATCTCTGCCTCCCCAGCAGTCCTCCACACCCAGTGCACGCTGTACAGGTCAGTGCTCCCAGAATGCCGCTCAGAGTTCTGCAGCAACACCGCTACAATCCCACCAATTCCATACATAGGCGGACCACAACAACACCTGTGTAATGCACTGCATACCTGTGTAATACACTACATACCTGTGTACACAGGATTTTAGGACAGTGGTGGAGCATGGCAACTGCAACTGGTGCTCCCTTGGTAGTTCTGCCACTGACTCAAAGCTGTAGCGGGACTACAAATCGGAGCAATACATTATACTGCATTGCAGAAAACCATCAGCTGTAAAGGACTATAAATCCAAGCAATACATTATACAGCAATGCAGAATAATACCATCAGCGAGAGAGAACTACAAATCCCAGCAATACATTATACAACAATGCAGAATAATACCATCGGCTATAGAAGAATACAAATCCCAGCAATACATTATACAGCAATGCAGAATAATAGTATATACATTGTCTACATACTTTGTGCTGCTGCTCTGCTTTGGGGTGCCGGCCTGACGTCTCGGGCGGAGATTCTCAGGAGTGGTGCAGAGGGTCTTAGGAGAGGGAAGATGTGATGTACGGGCTGGAAGAAGCACTGTAAACAGGGACCGTGTGGTTACCAGGAAGGCTGCTGTGAGTTCTCCAGCAAGCCAGGGACCTAAAACAGCCACTTCAGCTTGAAACTTTAAAGTGCTGGTATTGGGGCATTTTCACAAGTACAACTACTCATGAAAATGCCCAGTATCTGCACCGATACTAATACTGGTATTGGTATCAGTGCATTCCTAATTACAATGAGTATTCATTTCACTGATTCACAGTATAATGTTACTTACCCTTAGGACTGGACCCAGGGCTTTGCTACACAATGGACTCAGGACTCTCCAACGCAATAAACTCAGGGCTCGGCAACACAATGGCGCATTGGACTCTGGGCTCTGCGGCGCAATGGACTCTGGGCTCTGCGGCGCAATGGACTCTGGGCTCTGCGGCGCAATGGACTCTGGGCTCTGTGGCGCAATGGACTCTGGGCTCTGCGGCGCAATGGACTCTGGGCTCTGCGGCGCAATGGCCTCTGGGCTCTGCGGCGCAATGGACTTTGGGCTCTGCGGCGCAATGGACTCTGGGCTCTGCGGCGCAATGGACTCTGGGCTCTGCGGCGCAATGGACTCTGGGCTCTGCGGCGCAATGGACTCTGGGCTCTGCGGCGCAATGGACTCTGGGCTCTGCGGCGCAATGGACTCTGGGCTCTGCGGCGCAATGGACTCTGGGCACTGCAGCGCAATGGGCTCTGCGGCGAAAAAGGCGCAATGGACTCAGGGCTGTGTGATGAAATGGCACAATGGGCTCTAGGCTATGCGATTAAATGGTGCAATGGACTCAGGGCTGTGTGATGAAATGGCACAATGGGCTCTAGGCTGTGCGATTAAATGGTGCAATGGACTCAGGGCTGTGCGATGAAATGGCGCAATGGACTCAGGACTGAGCGACGAAAAGGCGCAATGGACTTAGAGCTCTGCACCAAAATGGTGCAATGGACTCAGGGTTCTGCGAAGCAATGGACTCAGGGCTCTGCGAAGCAATGGACTCAGGGCTCTGCAACGCAATGGCGCATTGGGCTCTGCGGCGCAGTGGACTCTGGGCTCTGCGGCGCAATGGACTCTGGGCACTGCGGCGCAATGGACTCTGGGCTCTGTGGCGCAATGGACTCTGGGCTCTGCGGCGCAATGGACTATGGGCTCTGCGGCGCAATGGACTATGGGCTCTGCGGCGCAATGGACTATGGGCTCTGCGGCGCAATGGACTATGGGCTCTGCGGCGCAATGGACTCTGGGCTCTGCGGCGCAATGGACTCTGGGCACTGCGGCGCAATGGGCTCTGCGGCGAAAAAGGCGCAATGGACTCAGGGCTGTGTGATGAAATGGCACAATGGGCTCTAGGCTATGCGATTAAATGGTGCAATGGACTCAGGGCTGTGTGATGAAATGGCACAATGGGCTCTAGGCTGTGCGATTAAATGGTGCAATGGACTCAGGGCTGTGCGATGAAATGGCGCAATGGACTCAGGACTGAGCGACGAAAAGGCGCAATGGACTTAGAGCTCTGCACCAAAATGGTGCAATGGACTCAGGGTTCTGCGAAGCAATGGACTCAGGGCTCTGCGAAGCAATGGACTCAGGGCTCTGCAACGCAATGGCGCATTGGGCTCTGCGGAACTCTTGGGCTCCCTTTTCGAGCCCGGCCACACACCCATCCCCTCGCCCCACACGGTGCTCTCAGGCGGCTGCCTATGCCTAAGCGCTGGCACTTCTCGGAGCAGGCCATCGGGTATAGCGGGCCAGGCGGAGCCGAACACAATCAGGCTGATCGTGTTCGGCCCAGCCAACCAGGAAAGTGCCCAGTATGCCCTATGGCCAGTCTGCCCCTGGCACTGACATATACCACAGTGCTATACAGAGAACACTTAGCCAGTCACATTGGTCTCTGTACAGAGGAGCTTACACTCAAATGCAGAATGGCAGCGGCTGTAGAGAGACTACAAATCCCAGTAATATATTATACAGCAATGCAGAACAGTATAGAAGTTGGACTCAGGGACTGGTAACGCGCCGGACTCAGGGACTGGTAAGGCGCCGGACTCAGGGACTGGTAACGCGCCAGACTCAGGGACTGGTAATGCGCCGGGCGCAGGGCTTAGTTTGCGCCGGACTTAGGACCCACCTGAGACAACACAGAGCCCACCTGGGGCCCAGCCGCCTCCACCCCTTCCCTCTGCCATGCCGCCCCTTGTAGAGCCGATACGCATAAAAGGGCCTGGGCCCCTCATATGAGTATCAGCTGTACCCCCCCTGATGGTGGACCTGCCGTTGTCTCCCCTCAGTCTGGCCCGTGAGTCCTCAGTTTGTCTTCTGTGCCTGGCTCTTGTGTCCTCACTTTGGCTCCTGTGCCGACCGGCCAACCCCTTCCCCCACCCCATGTGTCCAGCATGGTGTGGTGGCGCTCTGGTCACTCCTCACTCTGCTGGAGATTTTCCTTGCCCCCTCCCCCGTCAGCTCACGTTCTCCTGGACTCCGTTCTGTGATCTTTCACAGGACAGCGCATGCCCTGCACAGTTCTCCCAGCTCGGTCTGTCAGCTGGTATGGGGGCAGGGCAGATCTCCTTTGCCTGGCCGAGTGGCCATTCTGTGCTCTCTGATAAATGGAGCTCTCAGAGCAGGCCATCGGGCATAGTGCATCGGCCTGAACACAATTAGGCTGATTGTGTTTTGCCCGGCCCACCGGGCAAGTGCCTGGCATGCCCTGTGGCCAGTCCGGCCCTGCTTACCAGTGTGCATTGCGAGTGAAACTTCCTGACCCATTGCATACAAAGTGAGTGGAAGTCCTCCCCATCACATCATCACAGTACTGTGTCCTGTGGTCTTAAAACATACCACATGGCGTGTTTTCCGCGGCTAACAAGATGGCCGCTTAACTCCGGAGCTCCTGACCACCCGCAACCCAAAATTAGCTTCTATGGTAACTGATCAGATGACATGGGGAAGATTGGACCGCAATACCCCCCGGGGAAGGTGCCCTCGTCACAAGGGAACCAACAAAACAAGCAGGTACCGGACATGTTCCGCTCCCAGCGCCATGAGCCTCAGAGACGCCACCACCCAACATGGCTGACGCCCCCTCTCGCAGGACCCATCCTGCCCTACCCGATCCAGACGATGAGTCTATGCACGAGTACATCAAGCATCTCCCAACTCGATCCGACCTGTCCCCCATCGCAGAAGACATAAAAGCCACCCTGCACTCCGCGGTGACTGAATTACGGGATGACATCCGAGACATAGGCCGCAGGATGACCGTGGCTGAGAAGGCTGGCGCGGCCAGAGATGTAGAGATCCGACGGCTCCACTTCGCCCACTGCTGCAATGCCTCCGCCATCATAGCATAGTGTATCGCTGGCGCTTCCCTTTCTGCCTTTCCGCCACCCACAAGGGGAAGACAGTGCCTCTGCGTACACCTGATGACCTGGAATCGTTCTGCTCCTTGTTGGATCTCCCTCCGGTCACGATCCAGGATTGG